TATATAATAAACCAGTTTGTGAGCTACATATTTTTGTCTCTCCCATCTTCAGAAATGTTCTCACATTGACAATGATTATTTGATAGCATCATGCCCAAAGACACTGGCCACACAGTAAAACAAAACTCAGTACTATGATACAAGTGAGGTAAATGGGGAAACGAAACAATTCAACATTTGCCCACAAAGGATTTTTTTCATTTTGATTTTTTTCAGAAAAATACCAAACACAGTGATTTAAATTTTTTTAAAAAGTCACAAAAAACCTGTTTTTAGCAGAAGTGAACGACCAATGGGCCAGCTCTCGGCTCAGACGTGATCACTATTGATTTTCCTAATAATCCACAAATTCACAGGGAAATTCAAGTCAATGTCAGGGGGGAGTGGTGGCATAAAATTAAAAATATAAATCAAGTAACCCACCTGGCATACCCCCTTTTCCTAAAGCCCTCTACCCTCCCTCACCTTCCCACCCCAAACTTCACACGTTCTTGGGACTCCAACACTCAGATCTCCATCAGATCCAGGTCAGCTTCTTCAAAACCATAAAAAGATTCCGTTTCACTCTCGCCCTCAAAGAGCTGGTGAAGGCTTTCGGGCTCCACTGTCTCTTCGGGGGACGACCTGTGCCGGGGAGTGGAAGCCGAGGGTTCCTCAGACTGTTCCCCACTGAGCTTCAGCTGCTCCTCCAGGGAGGCAATGAGCTCCTCCTGTAGGTCGGCATTGCGTGAGGGGCAGTGGACAGTGCCGTCAGGGCCCGGCAGAACGCTGGCCACCAGGAAGGACCGCTGAACCAGCTCTGGACAGTCCCTGATGACGCCCAGCACCTCCCCCAGCCAGACCAGCACCAGCTGCAGCAGGATGTCAGAATCGAGCGCGGCGTCTGCCATCTCCCGAGCCTGCTCCTTCCACTTTTTGTGCAGGAAGTTCTTGACAGTTCGTTTAATACATACATCTAATGGCTGGACTTTGGAGCTACAGCCAGCTGGCACCACTGCGGGCAAAGTGCTAGAGGCACTAAGCATGGCCAGTACCTCTTCCGACAAGTGAGTGCGGTGACCGTCCATCACGAGCATACCTTTGCTGTGCTGGCAAGCGGTGTGCTTCTGCCACACCCGGGTGGACCACAGCGCCATGATTTCGTCGTCACTATAGCCGCTCTCCTTCGCCTCTAGTAATATGGAGTCTGGCACATTAGCGGGCTGATCTACTTGTCCTCGGTGGACAACCAGCGTGGGGAGGATGGTGCCATCTGCCAGAATGGCCAGCACTACATCACACCAAGGTTCCCCTGTGCCCACTGTCTGTAGGGCATTCTCCTTTCGGTCGTCACTGCTCAGTACCTCTGTGTCCAGGAACAAGGAGACCTCATCGATGGCCACGATCATAGACAAGGCTAAGTCCTGGTTGTGAATCTGCCGCTGCACAAATTCAATGAAGAGTCCTGCATTCTCCGCCACATCTTTTGGCAGAGCGTGGGCCACAGCTCGCCGGGCATGGGGAGTCAGGTGGTGCCGCAGCATGAAACGCACAGCCCACTCGTAGGAAATCTTAAACCCCCCCTCCAAAGAACGTCCTATTTTGGTGGCCTTCTGGAACAAGGTCTCCTCATTTACAGGCAGCTGTTGCTCCCGCTGAGTCAGCACCCACTCAGCCAGTTTCTCTTCTGCCTCAAAGCTCAGATACTTGCCCTCTAGATTCTCCCCCTGGGAGGCCTGGAAACGACGAAGCCAACGTCGGATTCGTCGCTGGGGGTTTCGGAAGTGTTCGGCTGCTTGTTCTGTGTTGCAGCACAGGGCAAACAGTACTACTCGCAGCTTCTTCACAGACAGCTGCTCCTTCCTGCCAGACCCACTTCCACTTCCACCGCCCAATGCTGCCTCAGGTTCCTGGGTGACTGGGCTCCCTTCATCTTGGTCATCGACATTCAAACACTCAGCCACCTCTGCGGCCAAGGGTGGAAGGGCCAAGGGCTGGGGCTGAGCGGGGTTTGGTGGAGGGGTTGAGGTCGAAGCTGGTGACGGGAGTGCCTGGGCCATGGGGACAGGTGGCTCTTCAGGCTCAGCTGGGGTGGCACCCATGGGCTTCACAGTGGCAGCCTTGCTAGGGGAAAAGGAGGAAGGGGGACACATGTTCTTCAAGTTCCGGTCGTGTCCTCGGTCATGGGCCTGTCCATACCTGAAGGGTGGGGAGCAAAGAGAGCAGAAAGATCAACTAAATAAGGAAACTAAAGTAACAGTAGCAGTAATAAGAACAACACACTGCACAACAGAAACTATTAAGTGAACTTTCGTTACCTTGAATGAGATATCCAAGTGAGCCCTGAGAAAGAGAGAATAAAAAAACTATTAGCTCAGTGAAATTCTCTAAAAATAGGGTCCTTGGCTTTCATCTACTACATAGAAACACACTCTTCCCAGGGCCAACTTTCCTAGTCTTCTCTAAACTTCAGGTTTGAGTGTTTCCAGTTTGGTGTATGTATCTAAGAGGGACGGTGAGGCCAGAGAAGGATGCTCCATATCCCTAGCATGACATATTTTTGTCCCCGTGATCCCCATCTCTCCTACTTACCCCGTGGCAGGATGCTGCTAGATCTGTGAGAGGGGTTGAATACCAAATGCTTGGCCATGGCATCGCCCACAGAGGTAACAAAGGTACAGGAAGTGCAGGCCAGCTTAATTCCACTAGGAGAGAAAGTCAAGAGTATATAACACAAACAATGCACTGACACCAGGGCAAGCTAAAGTTTGAGGCTTAATAAAGAAAAAGAGGGTCCCTCCCTTTTTTATTTTCCCAATTAATTCACATAACCACACCCACAAAATAACCAATAGGACTTATGATAAAAACTTGAAAAATTGAGAGCACTAATAAGTTTTTCATTACCTCACAGAATTTTTAAATAATGCCAAATACTTGGGGCTCTTCCGTGGAACATGATTGCTGAGAAAGACAGAGAACAAGTGGAATCAGATACTATGTTATGTTGGCGAACCGTGAGATCACCAGCCAATGACAATGTCCAGCAAGAGATGCCTCTCCAACTCCCCTATCTCAAGGCAAACCAACCTTCCTATCACCGTGCTCCCAACTCTGTTAAATTCTGAGTCAGGGTACTGAATGTCCTCCTGCCTCCTGTGATCCTCCTGCCTCCGCCTCCCAAATAGCTGGGGTTATAGGCATGGACTACCACATCCAGTACCTCTACTATGCTTGCTAAATTTTAGTTATGTATATGAAACCACTTGACGATCTATTATCATTCACATTCTGAACCAGGAGGTTGGGGGGAGTCATTCAGAATAGTGAAGTCCGAGAGAATTGGAGCAGAGATCGTCAAAGCCAAATCAACAAGGGTTTGGCCTTTTTATCTACTCTTTATCTCTAATGGGCAAACTACTCTAAGGGCTGAAGGGGGAAACAAAGTAAGAGTGAGGCAGGGAGTGAAAGGAGTTCTGGATAATCAAGTAGAAACAGGACTTGAATCTCGACTTACTTGATCATGTGGTTGGCATAAGCTCGAGAGCAGCAGGTGCTATAGCGACACAGAGAGCAGTGTACATAAGTAGGGAAATGATTTGGGAAATCTGGGATCTCAAAGCTGCATTCCAGACATGTCTGCCGACCCATGACACTCCTGTCCAAAAAAAGAAAAGACAAATTATTAATTCCTCTAGTCTCCTCAAACTGTAGGGATTCTAGCACACCAGCCTAGCTAAAAGGCTATCCAATTTCACTTTGGGAATAATCCTGCCCGGCAATTAGAAGAAGGCACTGACATTTTCCTAACGGCTCTCTTCTGGATGTTGCGTTGGACAGGGGGATAAAGGAAGACAGGCAGAGGATCTGCTGAGGAGGTCAGTGGCGCTGCCTCCTGCATGGCGCTGGGAGGTGCATCACTGGAGGATAAGGGAACAGTTCGCGGCTGCCCTCGGGAAGCCCGGATTGTCACCTGAGAGTCAAGAAAAGGAACAATTAGCACCCAGAGACAACTTCATAATACTGAAAATCTCTACGCCTCCCTCCCTTCCCTGGGTCTGTAGGAGAAACTTCAGCAAATTTCAGCAATCTCTTCACCTTGGTGCCTGGTTTCAAGCCTTCCAGCTGTTTGGGTTTACGGAAGGTTTTATGGTGCTGAAGCTTGTGTTCAATTTTGTCCTTGGCAAAGAGAAACTGCAGACGGCATTTATTGCAGTGGTAAACATTTCTCTTCTGGGGAGGAAAGAAAAGGAGAAAAGAATCCCTTAAAAATTTCCAATAAATTATCTTCTCTAAGGTCGACGTTAAATACACCATTTTTCCACTTTCCTGTTGATAACGTGAGCAAATAAGAATATACAAGAAACCCACCACTGAGAAGCATCATCTATCTCTCACTCCCGAAGGAAGGTGGCAGCGAGGCCAGGCTGAGCAGGTCCTCCGACCAGCCCTTCTTGACTCCTCAGTCTGGACCACTGCCATACGCTTTACTGGCCCTGCTTCCTCTTCACACTGCAGACAGTGCTACCTATTCCTGTTTCTTCTTTTTGGGTTTTTTTTGAAAAGACACTGATATGTATATCATAAAAAACAAAAATAATTCATACTTTTTACCCTGTACTCTTTCATACTGTTAGTCTTTAACTGATTTTCAGTCCCTTTCCATAGAAATAGCTGTTACCAGTTTCCTGAGTATTACAGTCTATACGTGTGACGACATAACATTCATTCTAATCACTGCCGTTTAGTTTTTAGCACAATAATACTGTCTGTATCTTGCTGTTTTTCCTTGTAACACAGCAATATATACATAAGTCTCCTTGTGGACCACTCTGAGAATTAAGTCTGCCTTGTACCTAAGTCCTTAAAGACAGGACTCATTCCCATCTATGATGTTCTTCGCCAGGATAGCAAGAGAATGTAACACTGGGCGGAGTTAGAGACAGCGGTTTCCACATTACTCGGAAATGGATCTGTGTACCCCAGCAGCTACTACTGTGCAAAGCAGGGGGTTAGCAGAGGATGCGGCAATGACAGCGTGCACGTTGTGTGTACATGAAGGAAGGCTGAGCACAAACGTGCCCAACTACTCCATTTTGTATTTTCTCTTAAATACCTTCACTTTTTTCTAGTAGCACCTTTCTAGAATTTTCTAACAAGGTCATTTCTACTCCATCTTACAAACAAAATACAACAAAACACCACAAAATTCACTCATTACTTCTGACCTCTGATCTAGCACCCTTTGTTCCCCCTTCACTAAACAAAGCTTTCAAGCGTTTTCTACTTCCTTCCTTCTCATTTCTCATTACGTTTAACTTTCACTCTATCAACCAATAAAATGGCTCTTGTCAATGTTGCTAAATTAAAGATCTGCCTCTAAGTTTCTACTGTGACACCTTCCTTTTCTTCAAAACCTTCATCTCTTCAGCTTACCACCAAGACTCCTGATTTTCCTAGTAGGACTATGGTCTGGTTTTATGGATGGAGACTTCAAGGATCCTAAGCTTTGACCTTATTCTCAACCCAGACTTTTCTCCTAGGCTCTGCCCTATTAGTCAACAGCTACGCTTGATGTTCACAGACACTGTGCTAACTCAGAACACCTAAATCACAACCCTTCTCCCCCAAAATTCTTTCTCCAGTTCTACCTCAGCTAATAGTCCCAGCGTTCATCTAAAGACAGAATCTTAGGCATTATGCTTAATTACTCCTTGACTACTTTTACCTAATCCAGCTCTAAATCATCAATATAATTCTGCCCTCCATCTCAAAAGCCAATACATACTATCATCTCTCACCTCAGCTACTAAGAAAGCCTCTGGTTAGTCTCGCTACATTCTAGTTATATTCTCCTTTAATCCATTCTCCTTAGGCAGGAGAGCCCGTGTAAAACTGTAACTGAAACAAATCTAGACGTAGCCCTCCAGGACTTACACATCATTTATGGCTTCCCAATGACTTTTTCATGGCTTTCAAGACCCCCGACCTGTCCTAACTTCCAGTCCCTACCTTGTACCTACAATCCATACTGCATCTCAGTTTTGGGGACCTTCGTGATCTCGTTCTGTGACTCCGGCACACTGTTCTTCTGTTCCATTTTATCTGACTCATTTTTCTTTATCCTTCAGCTCTTAAGTATGACTTCTGGAAGCTCCACTAGCTTGCAAAGGGCACGCCTTTCCTTATCTTGTACTTCGCCTTCACAAAACAATCTTCATACTTGCACTGTTGACCACTCTAGCTTACTGCACACACAATTAGGCAAACATGTGTATTATCTTTTTTACCAAAAATTATTTGTCTAGCTAAGCTGTGGCCCCAACATCCATAAATTAAAACAAATGAGAATACAGGAACTGCGTGGTGGCCAGTACCTGGTGCCTCATGTAATGCTGCTGGAATGCATTGCCATTTTTGAAGACCTTCAGGCAGTAAGGACAGAGCAGATGCCGGGTGTCCTCATGAATCATCCGGAAATGGACATCGACCTCTGAGTACAGTGAGGAGCGATACTGACACACCTGAGTCACACACAGTGGAAAGAAGGGCGAGCGTGAATGACCCAGGGTCTAACGAAGGTTTAGGATTAGCTCACAGAAAATTAGTTTTGCTTTTTATTTTTTGGTACCGGGGATCAAACACGGGTCCTTGCGCTTGTGAGGCAGGAGGCAGCACCACTGAGCTAAATCCCCGGCCCAGAAAATTAGTTTTTAACCTTGCAACACAGGTCTATGCTTGTGATAAATGTAGCTGTGACTTAAGATAAAATATACAGAAGAACAGACGAGTGTGACAACAGTTTTTTTTTTTTTTTTTTTTTTTTTTTTAAAAAAAAAGTTTTTTTTTTTTTTTTTTTTTTTTGGTACCGGGTACCAAACTTGGTCCCTTGTGCTTGCAAGGCAGGCAGTGGAACCACTGAGCCAAATCCCCGGCCCTACAGTATTATTCTGTAACTAGGGAATAAAGAAAGCTTTCTCTATCTCCACAGAGCAAGTCCAAGAGACAGAGTTAGAGCATGCGTGTCTTCCCTGGCAAAGCGTCACACTTGTGCTTATGTTGTTTTGTTGTTGTTTTTCCACCTGCACAGAAAATTCTAAGGACAGAAAATTTTAATTATTTCTTCTATTATCTCTTCAGAACTGCCAAACTGAAATGTGTGCAGTAGGTACCTAAATAATGCTCATTAGTGGATTCTTCATATTCAGCCTGAAAGCAAAATGGCTAAAACTTCTTGGGGAAAAGGCAATCAATACCTGACAAACATAAGGCATCTCTCCAGGTTTATGAGTGTCTTTCATGTGCTGGAGAAAGAGTGGTTCACTTTCAAATGCCCACTCACAGATCTTGCACTTGGCTGTAAGAAGAAAAATACTCAATAAATCCACCTGAAAACAAGACTTAAGTCCTCAGAATCTTTTCTGTCACTCCTATTTCTTTATTCTCAACAGGCAGTACAAGTTTCCTTCTTTAAAATAATTTTGCCTTAGTATTTGTTGCTGATAATATCTAACCTATATAAATGTAACCTACTGTAAATTTTTGGTAAAGTTTCACTGTATTGTATTTCAAATTATACAGTATGGCCCCCCAAAAGGGCATTATTTCTTTTTCTTTTACTTTCCAGTTTTTGCAAAGAAATCCTGCTTTGAGGGATGAGGAAAAGCTGACAAAGGAACCAAGAGCAGCAGGAAAGAGGTGTGCTAGGTATGAGTGTTCAGGACATATTTGGGAAGGTTAACTGGAGGCATACTTTCTTCTTTTCCTCCGACTTCTCACTTTGTTTTGTTTTAGCTGTGGTTCTGGGGATGGAACCCAGGGCCTCACACCCGCTAGGCAAGTGCTCCACCACTGAGCTACGTTCTCTGTCCGTAGAAATACCCCGAAGCACGTGCACTCTCCATCCGGGCCTTTCTCTCCCATTTCCCCTGGGCAGTGTCATTCTGTCTCAAAGGCTTACCCACAGCCTACACATCAGCACTACTGTCACAGCTATCACACAACACCCACAATTAAACTAATGCCATTTCTAAAGCACAAGCAACATGCTAAGCCCTATGTGTATTATCTCTTATCAACAAAGTTTGTGAGACAAGAACTCAAAACAGGGCCTGGGATTTAGCTCAGAGGCACCGCAACTGCTTCTCAACCGCAAAGTCCTGAGCTCAGTCCCTAGTACCAAAACAATAAAAGTAAGAATGTAAAGGTACAAATTTCTAATAATGAATGTTATCACACTGTATACCTACAGAATACCAATAAAATGTTTTTAAAAAGCATATGTAGTAACAAAATGCAGTAAAGTAATTATTAAATGATGGGTTTTGAATATTAAAAAACAAAACAAAACAAAACCTAAAAACATCTGGGCATGGTGGTCCATGCCTGTAATCTCAGCACTTGAGAGGCTGAGGCAGGAGGATTGCCCTGAGTTTGAGGCCAGCCTGGGCTACACAGTGAGTTCAAGGCCAACCTGAACTAACAGTGAGACCCTGTCTCAAAACAAAACAAAACAAAAAAAAGAACTCAAGAAACCAGGGCATTTCCGAGTGCTCTAGTATGAAGTCCCATGGGGGAGGAGCTGGTGTGAGAAGGTCCAAGAGGGCAGCTGACCAGGTAGGCAGCTCAGAAGTCACCTGCCATGAGGGAGGCCCTGGGCTCACTATTCACCATCAAGGAGAAAACAGGCAGTGTCGGGTGGCTGTCTCGGCGGCCTTCACTGTGCTCACTCTCCCTCCCAGCACTCTCCCCTCACTCCTCAACACCCACCAGTCCCCCCAGGTGCCAACTTCTAGAGCCTCTGCTTCTGTTGCCTGGGTTACAAAAGAGCAGGCCCCTCTGTCTCTCTAAAGCTCACTCCCATTCCATGGCCTCTGACACTGCGAATCAGCTTTTTCCCCTCAGCTTTCATCACACAGGCTTCTTGCTGCAGACAATGGAACATAGCGGGCTCCCTAAAGAATGCCTTTCTCTCTCCAGCTTTCCTCACACAAGTAACAGACTCACTGAGAGAGAAATTAGGGAAACAACACCTTTCAGAGTAGCATCCAATAAAATGAAATGCTTAGGAATCTAACAAAGGAAGTAAAAGGCCTCTACGCTGAAAACTATAATACCCTGAAGACTGAAGAGGATATCAATGAAAAGATATCCCTTGTTCTTGGCTAGGAAAAACTGAAATAGTGAAAATGGCCATACTTTCAAAATTGCTGTACAGATTTAATGCAATTCCAATAGCGTATCTCACAGAATTAGAAAAAAAAAAAAAAAAAAAAAAAAACAACCCTAAAATTCATCTGAAACTAGGAGAGACCTAGAATAGCAAAGGCAATTGTGGGCAACAAGGGCATGGGAGGGGGCATCACAATCCCTGACCTAAAATTGTACCACGAAGTTACTGTAATAAAAGCAGCATGGAGCTGGCAAAAGAATAGACCTGATGATCAACAGAATATATCAGAGGATGCATAAACAACTCCAAACACACTCAGGCACCTATCTCTGACAAAGGAGCCAAACACCTTCACTGGAAGAAAGATAGCCTCTTTAATAAATGGTGCTGGAAAAACTGGCTTTCCATATGCTGAAGATTAAAACTAGACTCATTATCTTTCACCATGCACCAACCTAAAATTGAAATGGATCAAAGATCTAAATACTGAAACAGAAATATTTAATGTGCTGGAAGACAGAATAGGTAGAATTCTTGAAGACACTGGTGTGGACAAAGACTTTATGAACAAAACCCCAATTGCACAGGAAATAGCAAAAAGAATCAACAACTGGGATCTCACCTCATTTATAAGTTTTGCACAGAAACCACCAACAGAGTGAAGAGACAACCCACAGTGTGAGGAAAAATTTTCCCCAGCTGATTCTCAGACAAAGGACTACTATCTGGAATATATAAAGAACTCAAAAAATTCGGGCCCTCCAAATTTATAAAGGCCCAATCCAAAAATGGGCACCTCAAGTGAAAAAGTCAATTCTCAGATAAAGTACAAACAGCCAATAAATACATGAAAAGATGTTCAACACCACTGGTCAGTAGAGAGATGCAAATTAAAACAACGGTGGGCTGGGCTTAGTGGTACACGCCTTTAATCCCAGCACTCGGGAGGCTGAGGCAGGAGGATCCCTGTGAGTTCAGAGACCAGCCTGGGCTACATAGTGAGTTCCAGGTCAGTCTCACTGCATAATGAGACCCTGTCTCAAAAAACAAAACAAAACAAACAAACAAGAACAACAAAAAAAACAACGATGGGATTCCATCTCCCTCCAGTAAGAATGGCTTCTATCAAGGTATCAACCAGAAACAAATGCTGGAAGGGCTATGGGGATAAAGTAAACCTCCACTGTTGGGAGTGCAGACTTGTACAACCACTGTGGAAATTGGTGTGGAGATTCCTCAAAAAACTAAAACTGGAGGTTCCATTTGATCCAGCTATTCCCCTTTCAGGTACCTTTCCAAAAGAGTTAAAGGCATTATACCACAGCTATATACATTCACCCATGTTTATAGAGGGAGGCCTCATTTTTAATAGCTAAATCTTGGAGACAGCCCAAATGCCAATCAACCAACAAATGGATAAAGATGTGTTGTAACACAATGGAGCACTACTCTGCCATAGAGAAGGATGAGCTTGAGACGTTTATAGCTAAACAGACCCACCATGAGACCATACTCCAAAGTAAAATAAGCCAAACACACACGCTTAAATACCACATTGTTTCTCTGGTGTGAGAAACCAAAAATGGAACTAAGAACTAAAATGTGTAACACATATTGGGAAATGGGAAGAAAACGTTCAAATGGGAAGGGGGAACAAGGGACGAGGAGGAGATGAGGTGTGAAAAAGGGGGGAATGAGAAAAAAGGATCAAGATACAGGTGTAAATTCGCTATGATGAATGCTCTCATTATGTATATCTAAACCAATCAAAGTTTTGCTTAAAAAATGTTTCCTCTTTAGTCTACTGATCTTTCTAAACCGACAGAAGGTCTCCTTACATTTGGTTCTCCTGATCAGAAGCCTAGCCTGCGTTCCTGTTAGGGGTGCAGAGGAGGTGGGAGCGCTGAGACCATGAGCAATGTTCGAATACTGGAAAATCAATGTGGCCTTGAGTGGCTAAGGAAAATCTGAGTAAAGGCAACAGTCTATAAATCACAACACTGCGGCCTGGGGCTGCAAGTCAGTGAGTGCTAAGAGAGCTCTGCCTAGCATGCACAAAAAAAGCTCCCAAAGACCAGGAAACAGCACTAAGCAAACTGTGAAAGAACCCAAGAGCCACAGAGGCTCCTTCACAGAACAGACGACTCACCCTTTCACAAGTGTGGAGGAAACCTAAGGCTGCTACAACTGCACTGTTCCTACAATGAAACCGGATCAACTACTGAATACTGGGGATTACTCAGAAAACCTGGAAATGGACTAGGTATCAGGTGCTATCAAGGATTTATGATTCTCTAGACCATGACAAAGGTACTGTGGCTATGGAGAGAAAAAATGTCCTTTCTTCAGAGATACATTTAGGAGTAAAAGGTCATGATACCTGTAATTTAATTTAAAATACTACCAAAAAATAAAAGGGAAAACACTTTTACCCAAAATGAAAAACAGAGCAATAAATTCCAAAATATCAGCATTAAAAAAAATAAGCTATTTTCAGGCAGGATCTGTTACGGGTGCAAAGAGGGCTAAAAATGAATCTAAGCACTGGGGATGATGGCACATGCCTGTAATCCCAGCACTCAGGAGGCTGAGGCAGAAAGATTTCTGTAAATTCAAGGCCAGTAAGAACAAATGTTTACTAAGAAATATTCTCTCAGGCCGGGCGTGGTGGCACACGCCTGTAATCCTAGCACTCTGAAGGCTGAGGCAGGAGGATCACTGTGAGTTCGAGCCAGCCTGGGCTACAGAGTGAGTTCCAGGTCAGTCTCAACTACATAGTGAGACCCTGTCTTAA